CCACCTGGGTTTGCAATAGAAAAATTCTGAGGTAATTTGCTATGGATCTCTCCTAAAATAAAGAGCAGATAGTGATTTGGGAATGGCTTAATGTCCTTGGGTGTGGTAACTCACAATTCAGCTCTGTGATAAATCCAGACATTTTAGTGTCTTCACTCCTAATTTTCCAGAGCTCTTTTGAGTGAACATTCACCATCTGCTAACAGGCTATACTTGATTTTTATTGAAATCTCATCCTGATATACACAAATCACACAAAAAAGGACATCACCCCAGAAGGACCAAATGTGGACAGTGAACATGACAAACAATACACTCCTGGCTGTAAAGAAAGTGTAGTGGGCAATGCAGCCAGGTTCGTGTCCCCAGCTGGTTCAAGATTCAACCATAGAACCCAAAGCTTGAAGGAGACACAAAATAATGAAGACAAATTGTGTGCTGGTGTGGGAATGGTAAGAAAAGTTGGGGAATCTACCTCTTACTCAAGCAAATCTTCCTGTATCTTGTCATAGGAAATGATTTCAAATATTTCACCTATGATAAAAGGGAGGTATTCTAATTGAAGGTTAAAAATGGGAATTCCTATGCTGAAAGAAGAAACATCGATCACAAGGAGATGCCACCTGCACACTGAGAGAAATAACTGTTTCACAAGAGCTGAGACTACTCAGAAAGTACTTTATTCTAAAGCTTTTCTTGGACTTGGGATGTTGTCTTCTTAACTTAGCAGACCCTGAGGTCCTTATCAGTGCTGGAAGTTCAGATGACTTGGCAATCTTCCTGAACATTTTCTTTAAAATGAATAAACCTGACAAGCACAATATGAGTAACAAACTGCCTTGACTTCCAGGAATAAGAGGATGGTTTCGAAGAATGCAGGCCTGGAGCCCCATGGAAAAAGAGCATATCTTACAGCAGAGCCTTCCCATCCCCGCCCGCATTTTTTCAGTCAATTTTTGTACCCCCTGCACTTTTGTTACCAGGCAGTTGGGATGTCTCCGTGCAGCAAGACTCATTCCAACTGGCAGCTCTGGATCAAAGAGCACTGGAAGCATTAATCAGTGTGCCTAATCATTTCCAATCACAAGAAACTTTTCTCTGTGACCTGGCATATAAACAGCAACTCATTTCACTCACTGGTTGACGCACCAGAAACCAAACAATGCTTATCGTGCCTAATTCATCTTACTCCTGCGGGTTAGAGATGGATCAGCCTGCAATCGTCCAGCAGCAGTGGCAAACTTTAGGTGCTTTACTTAATCAAACTGATTAGCAACCTGTCTGTAGTGCCTTTTATCTGTTGGTGGCAAAGTAGTTTAGCAGCATTAAGTGCACCTAATTTTGTGATAGCAAAGCAAGACATGGTGACTATATTTAAAAGCACCTCCAGCGATGTGGGGGAGCTCTTGTTTTAAGGGGGTGGGGAGGTTCAAGGCAGCAAGTTTTGCTGATGCATGAAAACCGCTTTGAAAATTAAAGGAGCGAATGGCAGAGTCAGGGAGGGAGCCCAGGAATTTTGATTGCCAGATATCTGTGCTGCCCACAGCACCATATGGTTTGTTGCAAAAGGAAAGGAATAATCAAACCGGACATCTGTGCCTAGAGCCTTATCTATTTGGGCACCGTCCTCTGGACAGCCACACTCTGAGCACAAACAAAGAGTAATGAGATCTCCTCTACCCTTGGCGGATCCGCAGGGGGACGTGGTGCCTCCTGCACTTGTTCAGGTTAATATGTGTGTGATCGCCACCTGTTTGGGAGTTTGCTCCCATGGTAACACTGATTTCTTACCTAATGCCAAGAGCAGAACAACAGCCCTGTCACTGTTGCAAGGAAAGCTGACAAAAAGCTGAGGTTGCTTTAGCTTTCCTCAGCTTTTACTCAGGTGCCCCTGACTTGGGGGAAAAAAAAGCAGAAATAATTGTGCCGAAGGTCAGCCTGTTCCAGGGCAGTTTGTTCCTGCTTTGAAGAAGAAAGATGTGAGGGGTGGCAGAGAAACCTGCTGCTACACCTGACAGGCTCTCATGGATAAGAGCTGGTGAGGGAGCCCTGCAGAAGCCCTTTGCAAACTTGCATGACCTGCCTTGAACCTTGTCCAAAACGATTCCATTCTTTTCTTCAGTGCATGGTGCCAGAGGCAATCCAGCTCCCTTTCTGCTCTCTCCTGGACACCAAACAGTATTTCTTTACCATGAGAGAAGATGCCTTCAGGGACAAGTGTGAGGAGGTGAAGAAGGACGGGAAGAAATGCATGAGCGCATGGAGACTTCCCTCCTACATCAATGCAGCCCATCTGCTGCAGTGGAAAGTTAAATGAAGGATTTCCTAGTGCAAAGGCTGCCAACTCAAAGCTTGGGAGAGCTGGTTTTCAACACCTGCTCAGCCACAAGCTTGCTGCCTGGCCTTGCACAAGTCACTCAAGACCCACATGCATAATGGCACTGACATATCTGGCTCCTGGAAGGAAGTCCTGGACACCGAGCTGGTTGGCTGCAGAGGATTAGGCATCTCTGAATAAGTTTGGCATGAGACAACACATCCAATGGTGGCTGCCAACCAGGGCAAGAGGAGGTGCCACAAGTCAGGAGCAAATCCCCCCCAGGTTTCTGCTGTTTGAATTGCACATCTCTGCGGGAGCCTGCTGGTGGGAGGGCAGCAAGGGGCTGCTTCACCCTCTGTTGATCCAGCACCTGCAGTGGCTTAGCACATTACCACTCCTTGCTCCCATCTCCCCAGCCCAGATTTCTATAGCCATTCACAGACCCCAAACTGTGCTACATCCCTTTGATTCCCAATCCCAATATGCTGCAGAGGTTTAATAAACATGACTGGATATGCAGGGGACTGGCAGGACATCTGGACGCAGTGGTACTTCCACGAGCTTCAGGGAGCAATGCCAGGGCTGGTCCCAGGGTAACTCCTCTCTCTGCAGATGGCTGGGGACAGGGATTTTGTACCTCTGCTTGTCACCTGCTGGTCAGGCACCAGGCAAAGGGAGGCTTTGGATATGGAGTTGTGCACAAACTCCAGGCAGCTCTCAAGAAGCCAAGCAGAGCCATATCTCCTTCCAGTTATGAGCAGAGTGCTATTTCTCTGTTGACCAGGCTGAGACAGTTAACAGTTTAACTGAGACAGTTAAATTTTGGTAGTAATTCACACCCTGGCGCTACAAGGTTCCAGCAGGCAGGAGAGAGCCACTCCAAGGGTGCCACTGCCATGCTCACCTGAGGCTGGACACCCCCAGCAGCACCACTCCAAACACTGGGGAGCTGTATCACCATCCCACATCTCTTGGGTTTGCTACCTTTTCTGCAGCTGCTCAGCCAGCCATTCCCCAAAATGGGAATAAGGACAGAAGACAGAGGTGATGCCTCAATCTCACAGTGAGAAAAGCAGACAGGCAGAGACTGGAATATTCCCACATATAAATCATTCAGATACAATTTTTTTTCATAGATAACCAGCTCATCTTTCCTAGGCACTCGCTGAGCACAACAGTGAGGAAGGTCTCGGGAGATGCAACACCAAGATCACCCTTCCCTACATCTGACAAGTGCCAGAAAAAAATCAGGAACTCACAGAAGAAAAAGCACTGCTGCTTCTGCTGTAAGGCCAAAGCTGGGAATGCTGAAGTTATCACACAGTGAACTGTTTTGATAGTGATTAAGAAATGCCACTGAGCTCTCCTGAACTGAACACAAACCACACAGCCTAGATCCATCAAGGCCAATGCAGCAGCACTAATTTCCTAAGGTAAATCAAATGCGCTTCTCCAGGAAGAGAGTAACTGTGGAGTTGACTTTTCCAAACCCAGAGGAAGCTGCTGCTATGCCTTCCCTGCAAAGCCAGACCTGTTGTGGAGAAGAGCAGCTCAGCAAAATCTTGGGTAAATCACAGCCAAAGGTCCATCCTCCCACAAGCCAGGAGAGATGTGAGCCAGCTCAGTGAGCCCTGGGAGTATTGCAACCAAGCTCCCTGCTGCAAACTGAAGATGATGTGCCCTCCCTCTGAGTGAGGCTTTTGTGCTCAGCCTTGGCACTAATGGCAGGCTCAGAGCTCTGGAACCAGAACAAGCACCCTCTTGCACTTACCTGCACTGATGTGTCCTACACAAGAACAAAGTGCCTGATGCAGCTGCAGTGACTGTGAGATTGAGATGCACACTGCTGACACCTGAAAGGGACCCAAGGAAAATGGGAAAATGAGCACTAGGGGCTCCTTTTTCCTTATCCCCTTCCAATCACTGGAAATTTGTTATTGGTGACACAAAAAATGTTGTAGGATACACTAAAAGACCCCAGTCTGGGCAGACAGTCAGAGCAGGATTGCTGTTGCTCTCTCCTGTCCTGACCTGCTGCATTTTTGAAGTTCATGTGATTGTCCTTCCCATTCTGTATTCATTTGCTAATGTGATTTGAAAGTGGGTCAAAATGAAACAATTGCCATTTTTCTGAAGCTTAAAAGGAAAAAATAGGAGATAACTAAAACCCAATGTCTGGCCTCTCCTCATCCTCACTTTTCTTTAGACATTAACTTGTTTATGAGAAATCATATAACTTGGGGAGTAAATATTTTGATTACAAAAAAAGCTAAACAACAACAACAACCTTCCCAAAAAACCCAAAACCAAAAATAACAACAAAAAAGCCCAACTCTGAAGGAAGAAAAGGGGAAAATTCACAGCTTTCTCAGTCCCATGAAATACATCTCATTCATTCAAGGCTTAGAATAAAATTCAGGCAAAAAAGTTTATTCCACAACTCCCACCGTTCTCACATTTTCTGTAAAAATTCACACTTGTCACATGGTTCAAAGATACATAATGGATGTGAGGTTTATAATTGCATCATCACTTTTTCAGCTAAAAACCAAACATGAAACCTTCTGCCATCCATTAGTGAATTAATGTCAAATAGGTGAAAGAGGTTTGTACTTAGTTATTCAGACAGCCAAAATAAAATAAAAAAAAAAAAAAAAAAAAAAGAGAGGGAGAAGAAACACCAGCAAATAATTGTGGTTTGTGTCCAGGGAGGAGGCATTTTCCCTCACTGTTCTGGACAGCCATTCCAAGAGCCGGAGCCTTGCATCCTCCCAGGGCGCAGCAAGGGCTGCAGCCAGCAGGATGGGTATACACAGGCTTGGTGCTCATCTGGCAGCTCAGCAGCCCTTCTGAGGAGCACAGGGGAATCATCTCAGCAACATCTACCTGGAAAGGGGATGTGGGTTACAGTTTGCTACCAATAGTCCACTGCTATCATCCTCTCAAAGCCCAGAAGTCTTGGATTTGATTTTTACCCACTGCAGTTTATCCACTCAGATGTCCAAATCTGAAACCATGGCCAAGTGGTAACATCTCTGGGGAGCTTAGAGATGGGAGGCTAGGCTCCTGATAAGCCATCATGACAGCAAACTGGCACAACTGGCAAAAGAGTCATGCTGTTCCTTGCCAGTGGCAAGAGCCCTCCCTCCATCCCTGCAAAGCAGTTGACCCCAGCACAGTTACCATGTTAGAACTCAGCCCTGAGTCTGAGCTCACAGCTGCTTCCCAACATGGCATATCTGGAAAGACTGGAATGGGATGAGCTGGAGTGCAGGGAAAGAACTGGGAAAACATTCAATCAGGTTGGAAACAAACCTCTACAAACACCTCCCTCCTTTCTGAGCACCTCACAAAGAGAAATGCTGCAGAAGGTGGGTTTGCTTTTAATAACAAACAAAATACCCCAGTCTTTCTTAGTAAAGACTTGCCACTGGTTGCTGTCCCTTGTACGTGTCTCTTTTCATACTGCCGTCCCTTCATTCTTCTGAAGGCAGGCAGAGGAGTGCCCAGTGCTGCACTGCTGGGCTTCAGCAAGTGGGTCAGGTTTGGTTCAGGACCTCCAGGGACTGCTCAGCTGCAGAGAGCTGATTAAATTTTCCATATTATTTTCATCTCAGGTGGTGTCAGATGGTTCTTTGTTAAGTTCTTTATTCCACTAACTCCTCATCATGTACACAGGCAGTGAGAGGGGCGTTCCCCTCACACAGCTTCAGACATCCAAAGCACAGGAGTTCACATCTCAGTCAGATTTCTGGCCTCCCACACAGCTGCTGCAGGACAACAGCCATTACCAGAGGGAAAGGCAGATATCTTAGACACCTGTCTTGAGATGAGATGGCTCCAAAGTGCTGTGTCCTGACAGTTTACACTATTCCCAGTGCTGTGGCAGAACTTCCCTACCCCAGGGAGGGGTAGAAGAAGGTGCTTCCCTTCTTTGAGGGAAGAAGGTGCTGGGGAGTAACAGAGTACTGAGTGTAAATGCAGAAAGATCCAAATAATCCATCCTGCCTTCACTACACTGCTTATCAGTCCCTTTCACCCAAGAATTCCACATAATAATCCCAATATTTTAAATTAAACCTGCAATGCTAGGGAAACATTTCCTCTAAAATCTGGAAAAGGACATAGAAATTCTAAGGGTTCCTCCTTAACCCAAACCTGCTGATCAAAACTTTCTTCCTCCAGATGTGGCAGTCAAGTCACCCCCTTGCCAGCCTTCATCCCAATTAACCAAATTGCACTCCTCACACCTAGAGTCAAAGCAAACCCAAATCATCAGTGCCTTTCCATGAATTCTTCCTGGCACTTCCCCTCCCTTCTTCAAGTACAGACACCAGGCAACATGTCACCCTTTAAAAAGTCAAAGTCAGGAGTTACATCCCTGCTCCTGCTGGCTCTCCAGAGGTGCAAGGTTCCTTTCTGTCTCACAGCTCCATCACGAGCTCGCTCTCACATGATCACACACGAGGATCCCACGGACTCCTCCCTGACACTGCTCCCCAGATGGGCTCACACAACTTCAGACAGAACCTCAATTCTTTCCTCCAAACTACACATGTCCAACTGCCATAAATGAGTGTGGGTTTGATTTTTTTTCCACACTGTGCTATTTAATCAGATACCAGCCTACAAGGGCTGATTACATCCTTACTACTAAAGAGTGTGGAGATATTCCCAGACACTGCCTTGCTGCAGGATCCCATGGCACACAATTCCCATGGGCTATGCTGCAGTGCTGAGTCGGTCCTCAGGTGTTTGTTAAATCAGGGCTGGCATAAGGCACCATCCATTCCTGTGGTCACAGGAGGCCCATAATAACCAAGGTAGAGTTGCTTTGGCCACCCATACTGAAATTTAAATAACAAGCCAAATTTCATCCTCCTTCTGGAACAATCCGAAAGCAACACAGCATGATGAAAGGACAAGAGAACAGATGGGTTTTGTTGTCTGCGTGCTGCCACAGCAAACTTTTCATGGAAACTCAAACCCCCCCAGAACACCCTGACTATGTGATTCATAAATTCTAAGAGCCGAGAGAAACCAGCAAAATTATTTTGTCTGTCCGCCTGCCTAATAAAGACCACAGAATTTCACACAGTGATTTCTGCCCAAAGCCCAGCAATTTGTGGTTCAAACAGAGTATCTCAAGAGCCCACTGTCCAGCTTTGATGTGAGGATGTCCAATGAGGCGCTAACCACTTCCCATGCTGTCAAAATCTGGCTCTTCTACAGGTTGCCTGCATCTCTTCACCACTGCATAACTTTTGTAGCCTTCCCAAGGACATTAATACTTTTAAGCACTTTTGTTGTCTCTATCGAAACTCTCAAACCATCAAAAAGAAGGAAAACAGATTTCTAAGGCATAAAACACTAAGCAAATACACAGAAAAAGAAGAATAACAGAGAATCTCTATGTATGCTTCTGCTGTGATTAAATGGATGAAATCTATATTAAAATGCAAGGTCCACTCATCTTCCCACTCCAGATAACACAGTGCAAAAATTGTTTTGGTACAAAACGAAACAAAAAAATTCCAAATGTACACCCGTGTGACTTGTAGGGAAAGCACACTTGATTGGTTACAAAAGTAGTTTTTCCTGCCACTTATAAAGCTTGCTACAGTTTCACAGCAATAAATATTTCCACAGCAGAAACTTTGAGTGGACAGAATGAAATCCACTTCAAAACCAACTCCTGAAAGATCAGCCTAGTAAAAAGACAGCTCACCACTGAACACCCCATTCTGACTTTTTGTTTCCAAAATTCTGTGGTTGGTAGCACTGATGGAGAAAGAAAAAAACTTTTTTCCCAAACCCAAAATGGCAGTAGTCCAGAAGGCTGGAAGACCAGACTTGTCCAAGATGAAAAATATGTATGTTGAGCACAGAATTAACACAAGCACTCCTTCTTTGTATCTTGTAAGTGAAGCATTTGATGGCAACCCTGGTGATTATGTTCCTCCACCCACAGACCCAAAACAGCCCAGGCAACAGCCTTGAGACTTCCCTGTAACATCAGCCCATGTTGGAGAATGGGAGGGGGGCTTCAGAAACCATCCCCTAAATCCACTCCAGTTCCTGTTCACCTCTAAGTAATCATATTCACATTTAATAAAACCAGGCCAGAAAGTTCATTCCAACAGTGTCTCTTTTATTGCCACTTTCAAAGAGATGCTTTTTCACCTTCTGCCTGCATTTGTGCCCCAGTCAAACTTGGGCTGAAAACAAATTCTCAGGATGGATATCTGTGGTCCCATGGTCCAGACTCTGCTGGGATGAGCCCGGCTCCATTTCCTGCTCCCCCCCAGAAGGATTAGTGTCACCTGCAGAGCAGGTAAAGGTGCAGCTCCAGCTCATGAGGGTGCTGAGCTGGCTGTGGTCAGTGTGTGCTGCTTATAAAGGTACTGAGAGTTTGTGTAGGGCGTCTCAGGGGGGCTGAGGCCCACACCTTACAGAACATTGTTATAAACATACCTTTTGTGAGGAGACAGCAGTAACATCTATGGCTGTGGCTTTCCCAGCTGTCCATGAGGTCCTGCTACTACACCAGACACAGGACATGTCAAGAGGAGCAGTATCCATGTGGAGAAGAAGAGGACATGCAGGCTTATGAATTAGACCCTCATCTAGCAGGGCAGGTCTACACAAACCATCTAGTGTTTTATTGCACATGAAACTTCAGACTGTTTTAAGGCAGAGCAAAGGTGCTCTCCTTTAAGATTTCAGGCACCACAACTTTGTGCATTGAAACTCTTACATCAATTAAAATTCTGTGTTAATGTGTACAGGTGCAATCCAAGCCTGCATAACCTCTGTGAAACAAAAGTGCCCCTGAAGCAGGAACAGCTGGGCCCCATTTCTGTCTACACAGACCTGCAGAAATCATCACATAAAGATGCTGTGTGGCCACATAACTGCACTGATACTGAAAGAATTCAGACTTAACAGTGGTTCAGCTGAAAAGGTATTGTTTCTGAAAAATCCAAAAGCATTGTTTTTTGAGGTCCTGGGTAACCAACAGTTAAAGCTCCGCTTTCAAATCATCCACCCTGAAGTGGTCATAGCAGGTAAAAGTAGTAATCCTCACAGTGCAACAGTGCAGAAGATGGAGTGAAACCCCACAGCCAATTTAAGTATAAGCCTCACAGTTTCCATTACTGCTACTGTAATGATTTTGCAACTCTAATTTATTTTTCACCATTTCAGCTGCTAGTTTGTGGCAAATATTTGGGGTAAAAAAAAAAAATAAAAAGAACCCAAAACCCCAGAGACTGCCCATCCTTGACAGGAACAGTCCTGGCATGCCTGGAATGTGTAAAACCACAAAAGAGCCATTTCTGTTCATATTACTCCTTATGAAATCCCCTTTTAAAGACGACTCGGCACTGGAGCTTTAGGCACTCAGCAGAGCCCCTGTAGGATTGCCTTTTACTTTGAAATGTGAGTTATCAGCCCAAGCCCAGGCGGGTTGGGGTATCTGACTGTTGTGCCCTTTGCTTTGAACTCCGGGACCGTTACGTGCACGACTGCCAAACCGGCCAAGCCATTTTCCTCCCCTCCTTTGTTCTGAGGTTCAGGATAGATAAAAATTGCACCAGGCTTGCTGCCTCACCAATGCTAATTTGACTGTTAATTTTACATTTAAGGGGGAAAAAAAGAAATAACAAAACCCAACACCACACACAGTGATTATCACTGTTACCCACACAAAGGCCAGAACAACCACAGCATGATTCAACAGGACCTGGGCTGCAGTGGCTATCTCTGGACACGCATGAGAACGTTCTTTGGCAATGCTGTTCTGCAGCTCTCTGACACATCCTTTTCTGCTTCTGAGTCTTTTTTTCACCCTCACAGCCTGCTGTAACATCAGCAGGGTGGCAGCCTGGTTTTGCAGGTTTTGATCAGCCCCATCCACTTATAGGGACACCTGTAGGGCACAGGCTGAGCAGATGCCCAGGGAAGTTGTGGATGCCCAACCCCTGGAAGTGTTGAAGGCCAGGTTGGAAGGGGCCCCGAAAAACCTGACAGAAGGCCTCCCTGCCCATGGCAAGGGAGTTCAACTAGATGATCTTTACAGTCCCTTCCCACCCAAACCAGTCTGTGATTCTATGTGAGTTTGCTCTGCTGGAGCACTGAGGTGATCAACTCATATTACTGCATACTCATGTTACTGTATTAGTGCAGTGCTGCCCACACCATCTCTTGAGGTGCCTCAAGTCAAATCCTACTCCTGTTTAAGTTACTAGGTAAACTTTTTGCTGGCTTCTTTTTGCTTTTTATCTCTTTTTTTTTCATTCCTGAGGTTTCTGGGATCACCTTTCCAGTAGATCATCACTATAGCCATGTGGCAATCTGTAGTGTGAGGCTCACATCTGGTTTGAACTTAAGAAAGCACCAGATCAATGCAAGATCAAGCTGAAACACAGGGACTGTTAACCCCAATTTCCAGCACTTACTGCCTTTTGTTTGTGCAGACTGACATGGAGCCTTGCAAAATGCAAGCACTGTAGCTCACAAGCAAGAGGTAGGGCAGGACAAACATTAAAGACTGTAAGAAAGCACAGGCAAAGAAGTATCTTGTACAGAACTGAAAAAACAAAAGATAAATGATAAGCAGGAATTCCCCAGTGGGCTGAGTTTATCGGTGTGATTGCTTTCAGGACTTTTTTCTTGTTGTACCACCTTGATTTGCATACAAAGCATCTCTAACAGGAAATAGCATCTGTCCCGGAAAAAAAAAAACCAAGAAGGATAAGGATTTTTGCTGCCAAGAGTAAAATGTCTTTTGGCACCATATGACATGCCAGAAAGCCCCTCTCCTCACAAAAACAGTGGTACATTGCAGCTCTTCTTCACTCCTTGCATTGCATCCCATCCCAGGGGCTGCAGCACATAATGCAGCTCCTCAGGAGAGCTTCCATACTTAGAAAATCTGAAAATGAAAGAAAAAACAAGCAGGTGAGTTGATTTGCATTCTAGATTCACAATTAACACTGCACTAAATTAGTTTGTAGGAAGTGGAAGAGCAAAAAGGAAAACCGCCAACTTGAAAATGCAAATCTTCACCCTACTACAATCACAAGCCACAGCCAGGATTCCTACAGGCTAGGAAGGCACCAGTAAGAACCCATTTTTTCACTATTTTTTCAATGTGGTCACTTTATGAACTTGACAGTGGCTTGTGATATGTGGTTTCAATCCTATACATATATAGCCAGTTTCATTTCCTGAAAAGAGCATGAACAGAAAAGCAGAAAACCTTTAAAATGATTGTACAGGTCTTTCTGTCTTTTCTTTCTCCTTTTTGTCTATTATTGCTGCCTTCCTACACTAAAAAAGCCATTTATTAAATTAGTACAGCATTAAAAAATGGATCTTTTCCCAAGGCTCTTGGATCATCAAGAATATAGGTTGCTGCTTTGAAACTCACACACCAACTTGGCAGCACAGCCCGGAATCACAGCATTTTGTTTGAGTGTGGTATACATACATGGATGCACACTGTTCCTCTGCTCATGGCTCCAGAGGTGGTGGTTCAAGCCCAGCAGTGAGCACAGTGAGGTATGTTCCACAGCCCTGTGCACTGGTATTGCAGGACCTCAGCTGTCCATAGCCATCAACAGTCACAGCCCCACGGGAAGCAGAGCAGCGAGTAAAATCTTGCTTTCCAGATGAGTAAGTGAGACAGTGGTAGTTATAACACTAGACCTCTCTGCTTTTTCCTGCAGAACTCAGGTCATTGCCTCCTCTGTCTGGGCTCTGTGTCTCTCCCTACAGGAGCCCACACCATTAGCAGGGAGAAGACTTTGCCACCCCAGGGCTCCTCTGTGCTCCTCTTCTCTCCTGGCTGTGGAGAAACACTCAGGGCTCTCCAAGCACAGTTACACGGATCCTATTTAACTATCAGCTAGGCACAGCCCCACATCCCAGCAGCTCTGCCACTCCTCAAGGGCTGGGACAGTTGTTGGGACCACAGGCTAACTGGACCTGCAGAAAGAAACTGCAGCAAAGACCAACAGCATGGTCTGCAGGAGCAGAAACAGCCAGATCTCAGCCCTCATTAGACCCCATCCAGACACTGTATCTTGTTTTGGTACAAGAAACACACGGACAAACTAGAGCAAGTGCAGTGGAGGAGCACTGGTAACTTGCCCAAAGAGAAGAGGCTGTGGGAGCTGGGCTTGTCAGCCACGGCAGAGATGGCTTTGAGGGATGCAGCAGCAGCCCCAGTGCCTGCAGGGAGGTCACTGGGAACACAGTGAGTTCACTGAGAGCAGGACTTGACCAAACAAAGTCATGAACAACCCAGTCTGATCTCACAGTTGACCCACCCAAGATCCCTTTCAGCCTGTATTGGCCATCTCCAAACTGCCACCAGTGCAAAGGCTTTGGAGGAAAGGGTGGGAATCACTCAGTGCTCAGGGACTGAGATATCCCCCAAGTGAAAGAGTTTGAGAAACAACCACATCCAAGGCCATGAAGGCCCAGAAGGCACCCCTGGGCACTCTGTCTATGTTCCTCTCAGGACACAACAAACCCCAGTCCTGCACGCAGTCCCACAGCAGCCCACAGGCAGCTGTTCATCTCAGCTGGGGTGCCAGCGGCCAAGGAACCTTTGTCCACATTTCATCTGCAACACACACACATCCATCTTCCTCCCTTATGTATGTGCATAAATACACACACATAGTTACAGATCAATCAGGATTCCCCATGGCTAGGCCAATCACAAAAGGTCTCTCCATATACTGCCCAAGGCTGCAGCCTCTATTCCACAGGATGGAGATGCCTCAAGAAGCCTTCCCTCTGCCCCTCAAACTGCACAGCTCTGGTGCAAGAATGACCTAGCTACTCTGTCAACATGTCCACATCATCCTCTCCATCCCTTGTGTCAAAAGAAGTGTAGGAAAAATGTCTTCCTTTCAGTCAAAATAGCTTATGTTGCTAACAGACAGGAAATGTTCACAACTGAGAAGATGAAAAGGGACTTAACAGATAGCACTACCAAATTCCAGCTTTTTAGAAGGAGCTATACAAACTACAAGGTGATTGCCAGAGATGCTGGGTGGGCAGAAGAGGAGAAGGTAGAAAAGGAGAGGTTCATCTTCTTACCCCAGGTCACTAAGAAAGTCAGTGGCAGAGCCATAAATCAACTTCCTCCCCACTATCCCTGAGTTTGGATGCTCTTCATCCTCTTAATGCATCTGTTTGATAGCCAAGCTGTGCGAGGAGGTAAAGCTGCCCTCCTCATAATGCACATAACCACACTTCTTTTTGGAGACCATTGCTTAAGGGATGCCAGCTCCCCACCAGAAGTCAGTCCTGACTGAGTATCATCTTTCAAAAATACAAACTTGCATCTGCATCAGGAAACCCACCCTGTTTCGATAATATGCTCACCAAAGTGTTCTGAGATGTGGTCTCGTCTCACAGGAACTTAGAGGCTCTAAGGGTTTATCCACACGTGACATTTTTTGCACTTGGAAGTGAGACCAGCAAGCATTTTTACACCTACCTATTCAAAGAGTTTTATTTTCAGTACAAAGAGGGTATCAGACCACTCAGTTTCAACTTCTGCTGAAATTCCTGTGTGACCCAGGACAGCTCATTTCAAGCAGTTCTGAGTCCTCATGGTGACTTGTACTAAACTAAATTTCTGTAACTGCACCCATACCAATATCTGCATATATCAGCAGGAAAACCACAGCTTCAGGCAAAATTAGTATTTTTGTACAGAAATAAAGACTGAAAAACCCCATCTCCAGCACCTCATTGATAAGTAAGCTCTTGAAGCCAGATATACCTTCAGAAACAGATTCCCTCTCTTCTTTCTACCCTCCCATTCCTCCAATCTTTGAGCTAGGCCTCAGGGCAATACTTTGCAACTTTGTTTGCCAAAGGAGAAGGATGCTTTCTGTCTGGGAAGCCGGGAAGACTGTGCTGGAGCAGAGCAGACCCCGGGCATGCAATTACCCAGGCAGCAGCAACAATATGTTAATTCACTGGATCACTCTGAAATGAAGCACAGTGCAAGTCCCTGGAAAAAGTGAAAAGGAGCCTGTTAAGGAAACTGTGTGAAGGCCTTGTGCACAGCAGCCCCTTGGAGTCCAGACAAGGATGGACTTTGCACAGACATCATTTTTAGACCTGAACTGGCAGCCAGCACACCTGCTCTTCCCACCGCAGGGCATCCAGCAGGAATGACGGGACCTCAGCTCAAGGCTGACAGGGGACATTGGGAAACATCCTTATTTTTAAGAGCTGCAGACACATGCATTAGCCCCTGCAAGGGGCATTTGGAGCACTCATCCCAAGGAGATCACAGCCATAATGCCACGCACGTTCTGTCCATGTCCAGAGATTTCTCACACTATGAGGAGAGCAGTCAGTAGTCTCCTCCTTGGGGTCTGCAGCTGCCAAGCTCACATCCTAAGCTCAGCTCCTCTATTCAGTTGCCTAGAGCTCCTTAGGTAACTCCTGTCCTCCAACAACAAATAACAAAGCCAACCTAGCAAGGAGAGGAGAAACAGACTGAAATGGACCTTCAGTGAATTTGTTATGAGAAGTCAAAGCCCTCAGAAGGTCTGCACAGACTGGCTACCTCCTGGTGCATCATCCTTCTCCTGCTGACTAGGAGTGCTCTCCTCTAACACTCAGACAGAAACCATGGCCTTGTCACAGCATCACGACAGAAGTACTCCTGCACTCCAAAATCAGATGGAGTGCCTTGCTGCAGGCAGGAACACTGGCTTCTCTCCTAGGGAAAAGGGACAGAGGAAGAGTCACAAAATCTCCACTACGTTCCTGTGTTGGACAGACTGCCCACCTGCACACTATGAATGCAGATTCCAGATATCACAAATCTCCTTGAGGAGCAAGCAATGATTTCATCAAAGGCAAGGGCAGCCTTAAACCTGCATGGCCTCTTGTAGAGAACTTTCTGTTGTAATCCATACATAGATTAAACTCACCAAGTGGAAGAGTTGCACACCAAAGCTCTTTCTGCATAAAGCTATTGACCACTGAGTTGATACATTCAGGTCAGAGGCTCATCTGTGCTGACACACTTCTTGAGGAATGAGAGTGTGGCTTTCATGCATAAATACAGCTGTTACCCTGAGGAGCAAGGGGTGATCAGTTTAATGCCAAGAAGTTTAAATTCAGTACTTACATTGTACCAAAACTCCTGGGTTGCTGCAGAAATAGGATGAACAGCAGAAAACATCTGGAGAAAGTCTTCTGCTAGCTTCTGCTAGGTACTGGTTTTTTTGGAGACAGTTTGAGAGTAAGACTAAGACAAATCTGATTTAAAAATGCATTTGTTTTGCACAGATTGGGTTTTGCTCTCCAAGGAGATGAGAAAAGTAAAACACAAAACTGAGCTGCAAAGACAACAGTGCCTAGCCATGAGCCCTGGCCTTTGCAAAACTCTTGATGGCTGTCCCTAAATGGGAGCACTTTGCTGCCAGATGACGTGTCCCAGACGAGATGACTTTCCTGAAAAGCACTGACAACACGCAGTTAAAAGCTCAGTTCAGACAAGCAGTGAAACAAGACTGTTTTCTGGGCTGTGAGTTGAATATTCAACACTTTCCATGTTTGCTCTCTCACAGGTTATCTGGGCTGCACAATCAGCAAAACTGCAAAAACACTTGCTGGGGCTCAGCTACCAGGCAGTCTGTAATGGAGCTGTTCTGGAGGAAAACAGAAGTGTTATTGTGCTCACGGCTGTCCCAGTACAATTAGTCATATGTGATGGAGAGATACGTGTCCTCACAGAGCTCTTACTGCCTTGTCAACAGATGAAGTCAAAATGAAAACATCCCAACTATCAACAACCAACCTGAAAGCTGAATCATGAACCCTGAAAGCAGTCTCAATGCTGCAAAGAGATTTCTTCTCTGCAGAAGACAGCTGGATTCCTTCCATCCA